AAGTATATATGTTATCAACTATTCACGACTCACGAATGGTAGCAATCAACAAAATTGATCATAAAACAGGAAGACAAATTATGAAACCTGCCTGTGTTCAGAATTATAATGAAAATATGGGAGCAATCGATTTAGTTGATATGCAATCAAGTTTTACAGAATGCATTAGAAAAACAATAAAATGGTATAAGAAGTTATTTTTCCATATAGTTGATATGGCTTCAATCAATGCTTTTCATTTATATAAAACGAAAAATTCGAAGAATATTCAACTGAGAGACTTTCGTCTTCAACTGATAAAAAATATTCTATCAAAGTATGGTATCCAAAAACGAATTTCTATCGGCAGACCAACAATTGATTTACCACTACGTTTATCTGCTAGACATTTTCCATCACTTGTTCCTCCTACTACCTCAAATGCTGCTGCGCAGAGAAAATGTTATGTATGCTCTCATACAAAAAAAGATGAAAAATCGGCCAAATATACAAGATATCAGTGCGAAGAATGTGATGTTGGATTATGCGTAATTGACTGTTTTAAAGCTTATCATACTTTAAAGCACTTCTGAAATGGTTTTTGATTGAATAAACATATGTTTTCGCTATTTTAAAAAACTTAACTTTTTCAAAAAAAAACCCGCCAACAAAGGGTTAAATGAACAGACTTCGGCTTTTGTATTATCCTTGCATTTTGTCAGCTTTGTAAAATAAACATACATAGGCAATTCTTCAATAATTCCTGAGATCAATTACGAACAGGGATGAATAACTTTCCCATAGATTGAAAACAATATTAAAAGAAATGAAAAAGTATCGTTCTTTTGAAAACTTGCCCTGAAAAAGTAGACTCGTTTAATTAGTTAGTTTCATATTTTGCATTGTACTCCTGTTACAATATACATCGATATTCACTCTTGAGCGTCTCTGTCGAGGCATTTGCTCACATTCTGTAACTCGTCGTTACTTTCTCAAAGTTAACTCCACACACTCGCCGGTATGACTCACATTTGAAAAAACACAAAAGAAATTCCATTTTATTACGAAAGCTGATACCAGAAACATACACTTACTCTTTCCTAATAATAGAAAAAAGAAAAAAATTTTAAAGTTCTGGTCAAATCATCTAATAGTCGTCTCCGTATCGTGGCAAGACGCAGTCCGCAAACGAAAATTCGAGTCCGCCTTGAGGACAACAACCGTGTTGCGTTATATATTGATCCAAAACTGTCTATAAATCGTTTACGTGAAGCTATAAACGAACATCAAGCGATATCCGAGCGCGAACTCTTTTAGATAATGAAGATTTCCCGTATGTCATCAAGACTGAGAAGTTAGGGTTCATCAATGAATAAAAGATGATATCGTGAGATTGCGAACAATGATGCAACCAGAAACAAAACCACAGACAGTGCTGCCGATTCCAGCTCTACCACAGTTGCAGTCAACAACAACAATAAATGCACCGACAACTTTAGAAACTCAAACACGCTCTGCTGTTATTCCTGGTAATATGCCGTCAAGTTCTGATCGAGAACAGCCACCTTGTGTCAATTTTTTTGATGCTAATAAATGGCAAGAGATATTTCGAAATTGTAATCTCTTTAAGGGACTTCAGCTAGATGACGAAAATCCGAAACCGAGCGCTTATGCAGCATGTCAATTCAAATCAAATACGACAGAGATAAATTACAACATACACGACTGATCATTTATAAAAGCACATGTAGCACATAATGAGCGACATAATTCACTTATACGTAGTAAATCGGTTAAAATCGATGGTAGTTTCCAATGTCTGTTTCCATGTGCCGGTATAGGTAGTCAGTATTATACACAGAAGCTGAAAAGTGAACAAACTAAAACGTTATATACTACCTGTATATGAAATTGTCCTCCTGTCGAAGTCTTTTTATACGACCATGACTCCGATCATTTGGAATCCACTCGTGAGTTTCAAAATTCTATTGAAACCGTGTTTCTGCTACCCCATTTTCAAAGATTGAGAATGTACACGTAGATCACAGAGGCGTTTGGAAAAAGATTTTTAGTATTTTAGGGAAGATCATTGACTATATCCAAGCAAGACTAAGTAAGCGAAGAAATCTATCTGCAAAAATAGTAGACTTTTTTCAGCAAGCGGATTAGACGGAAGTGGTGAATTCGTTTGCTCACTATCCATACAAGACATTCACATCCAACACTATTTTCTGACTAACTTAATAAGGATCTGTTTCCAGCCGTTGAAGAGACGTCTTCGGAGAGGAGAATCATATCTCGAAAAAATTGATACACAATGGAAATTATTGCTTGGCTATGGTTATCAAAGCTATGTGCAAAATTAACCAGAACCACAGACAAATTATTGGTAACATTTTTTTACCGGTTGCGAACAACGGCCCGAATATTATGATGTTTGATAGCAAAGGCAGATGGCAGTAGAGGAAATATTCATTGTTATCAACCTAACACAATGAAAAATACACTAGTGTTGGATGTTAAAGATAAAAAAAGACTGGTACCATCGACGTTACTTGAACGACAATGGAGAACAGCGGCGTAACCAGGATTTTTAGTACAATGGGCAAACTTCTATTGTAGCGGAAAAAAACGATGGGCAAAATGGGCAAGGTTTTTGTCGATGGGCCAAAAGATTTTTGGTCCAAAAAGAACAAAAAA